AGCAGACCAAACAGTGACGAGCTGCGAGTCGAACATGTACTTGTAGCCTTCTTGGACCAGTTGGTGCGCACGAGCGATTAACGAAAGACCATTGACGTGATTGAACTGTAAAGGGGATGTTGGAATAGATCCAGATATTGTAAAAATGCAAGGAATGCCCACCTCTCGTGTGACATTTGCGCCGAACAGCCAGCCAGCACCTCGAGGACTTACGGCCCAATTTTCCACATCGTCAGGATCAGACCACATTAGATCTACCAACGAAAGTGCGTTGAGACATGTCAATCGACACTAGGAGAAGATAACAGACCACAAAATGGCCCTTCATGAGGTATCTCCAGTGTTCGTGTGAGGGTTCGGATTTGATCAAGGGTTCTGATATCTGGCGAAAGACCTCCGTGCACGCAGAGGGTTTGGCCATCAATAATCTGAGTAATGCTGGTCAAAACGAGAAGAAATAGGCACGGAAAACACAACTCACTGCAGCCAGATTCAGATAGTCAAACACACTACAGCAAGCCTTCCAGACTGTCGATGTTCCATACTTTTGAGTGCACTCGTCTAAGAAACGGTTTAATGCGCATAGTTTTCAGCAAAGACCGCTTTCATACCATAGAACCCATAGACCTGCGTTATCTGCCTGCTCTCGTGATTACCGCGCAAGAGCACAACCCTATCAGGATATCTAACCGCAATACGTCAAAAATACTCCCGTGAACAAGCTTTCTTGTACTCACCTCGCCTTTAAACAAAACAACAGCGATACCGTCTCCAAACTGTAATGTCCTCGATCCACAAAGTCACCCTATCAACCCAAAAAACCATCTCAACCTCAGCCGTCAAAAGTATCGCAGACAAAACACACATACGTGCCATAAAGATATAGCTAGTATCTGGCACATCTCCTCCCTTCCTCAAAAGCTCTAGTAAATCCCAAAATTGACCATGGATGTCACCGCAAATCGTGACGGGCGATGAGACGGGTTGGATGGTGGATTCTTCCATGAGAAGAGCGCGGACACGTTCGCAGAGGATCTTCATTTCGTTTTCTTGGAGGTATTTGCATTCTTTGAGCTGGGCTATCCATCTGTCGGGGTCGTAGAGGGGCATGGTGGTGGTACAAGAGGAAAGCGACGAGGGTCGGTGTCTCGCTGTCGGTCCTGACCAAAAAGGGTAAGCTTCGGACCGGCTCCTCTCACCAATTTGCACCAAAACTCCAATGTTTTGCCTGTTCGTCAGAAATTCTGCAAAAATCACTCAGTTCAAAAATCAGATGTAGCGAACTAGTCTTGATACAAGACTTTATTATCGAACGCTGCAGGTATTCGCTGATAATACTAAAGTGGCGAACGACATTAGATGCTCGCTGGCTCTCGGTGACAAACCTCCGACGACACTGGTGTCCCCAGATGCGACAGTACAGTGCACTGGCATTGGCAGGGCCTGCATCTAAAGGCATGTTTGCACCATGCTTCTCTTCTCTGATACTGAAACTTACTAAAGCTACTATTTTTGAGCTGCATATATACACCAGGCGACCAAATATGGGCTCTCCTTCGGACAAGACATGAATACGAATGCGAAGACGACCGTGCCATTTCTATAGTTCAAAATCCGATAAGTAACGCGCTCCTTTCGACTACCCGCTACTGGAATGTCCTTTGCTGATGCATCAAGACTCCCTCCACCCGGATGCACCTTAGCCTAGTCCGAAATCACTCGAGGAAACGTAGAGTTCGGTTTGATATTCAATACACATCGTACAAAGTCATCGTCCTTACACAAGTTTTAGTGTCTTTTTAATATCAATGGTCAATGAACTACAAAGTCCACGTTGCACGAAAGGGAAAAAAAGGCAGGCCCGAAGCCCTTTTACAACGAGATCGTGATCCCCAAGACGTTAACACAAAGACTGAGGAATGCGTTGATGTAGACCTGAAGGGAAACCGACAACCCGACCGTAATCGACACACACAGGTTGAGGAAAACCTGGATAGTCGCTACGAGATCCGCAAAGATGCTAATCACCGCATTGATAGAGACCTTGACAGCGATACTCAAGCAAAAGTTGGTGAGGTCGACGATGATCTGCAATCTTATCAGTATATGAAGAACGAGCACGACGATTGGAGAACATACATCCAGTACCGCAGAGATGAGGACCGAAATCTGATCCGTCGTTTTGCCTCCCAAGATGATGGCGACATCGACCTGAGCGTCGATATAAGCCTGGATATGATCGCAGGCCTCCTTGAAGATGATCTTGATCTTTTGGATATGAGGCCTAATGTCCTCTGCGGTGCAAGTCTTGTACGTCTCTGCAACAGATTGTTATTACCATACACTTCAATAGACAGGCGTAAGGATCGTTACTCACTGACTTCGTCCACAACGACAGAAATCTTGACCTTGATGTCGGCAATGATGTCAGGAAGTGGGTACTGCTGAGCCTTGTAGCACGCATCGCTCCAGCAACGCGCTTCAAGAGCAGCAGGTTCAGGAGAACGAGCCTCAAGCGCTGCAGGTCCATTCGGGGTAGGGAATGCCTGCGACAGCGTCGCAAACGCGATGAGGAAGGTGAAGAAGGAAAGGAATGAGCGCCAGTATTGCATCTTGTCTGAGGAAGGCTGAAGACTTGGGTTGTCTGGTTCGACAGAGCATCTATGACCTGGTATAAATACCTCTCTGGGAGAATCTAGCCGAGCCTTGAAACATGAAATATTCTTGGATGTGACCACGGTTCAGAGTTTGTGATTCTCGGAAGGCATCGATGACAGCATCGTGAAACTGGCGGAAGTGGGTGTGATAGCCCAGACGAAGGTGAGACATTGAAGCAATTCAGTTGAAAGGAAATTCAAGATGTTCGAGGGTGACCTTGCTTCTTCCTTAGGCTATCCGAACAATTGAAATGTGTCGCGGATGCCCTGAAATCTAAGACAGCGGTGCACAAGCCTACAGGACTCCGCCGGCTTGGTGTAATGTCCAGGGAAGCTGAAGATGTTGTTATTAGAGCTGGTGATTAGGAAAAAGTGGGAACATTACCAGCTCGTGAAGCTGCCTCATTGGAACTTCAACGTTTTGGTTCGAGTTTGGAAGATCGGGAACAACGGTCACATTGTACTCCGTCCGCGGAAGAGTTTTTTTTTCCCGCTTGGTAAGCAAAGCTGCCGGTGCCCGGCAAATTTGCCGCCCACCTGCTTCGACTCTTGTGACTTGTCTATCATTGGCGTTGTAGTACTCTCGGAGTTGTCGGGTTTGGCTCTGGGTTGGAGAACATGAGCGAAATACGAGAATTATCCAGGACTTAGAGCGTTCAGGAGGAGATAGCTGGGAATGCTGAAGGGTACGTGTTCGTTAGGATCTCGTGTCTCGCGGAACTGATCTCTTTCATTTCCGTCGCTGCAGAAGACGTCGAGGATAAGTCATTCTCAGAGATCGACTATCTGCCGTTGTCAGATTCCGCCTCCTTGTTGTCGTTGTATGATGCTTCCCAGGTACACTGAATCAATTCTCAACACCATGAAAGCTAGTACTCCTTTTGCCCTTCAGCTTCAACAGCAACTCAGAACACTTAGAACACGAGGTTTTCGCCCGACCTCACTCCCAAGCATGACCCTCAGCAGTTGTCTAGCTACTCTGCCAGTACAGGCGCATGAACTGCACTCGCATCACCCATTACATGCTTTTTGTGTAAATATCAGTGGACATGATTTCTACCAATAACACGTTTCCGAGCGCTTTATCCTCAACGCTTGCCGCCTCGGTCGTGCCGGGTTTCTGAGGATCGGAACGTCGCTGTATTCGGTACGCAATGATTGCGTGCGTACCTATTCTCGTCTCATCCTCGGACAGGGAACTGTTCATATACGAGTCATAAACCAATGCAGATATAACATGTCTGTACAATACAATAATAAAATTGGTATCAATGCTAGATTTCGTCCGGAGCGATACATGTTGGTCGCGCGTGACGCGTTGTCAATACACGAGCGGCACTCCTCTCTTCCACACCGTCACGATCGTCGAGCACAAGGATCCCCCAGTTGCAAGGATTTCTTTTGCTTTTGCTCTACTTATGTCAATCTCTCGATATCATAGATTACCCTTACTTGGCTGACTCGTACTAGCATAGTTCGGATAGATTTAGGTGAGTTCTATGAGGCCTTTTCTTGGTCTAATTATCTGATTTTCCTACAAAAAGACTCGGGTCTTACTGGATGCATAGAGTTATTCGGTGTGTGTGTAAATCTTTGCTGAGAACGTCAATTGACGCGTCGTAAAGGGGCCCAGCATGCGGGATTGCCAATCTCTCCTCTAAACCATCACTATCGTTCTTTCCGTTTACTTCCCCTTGATACTCATAAACCTGGCTTTTGGATACCCTGAGGGTGTTGGTTAACCACAATTATGGCTGATAGCTGGGCTAAGTCGCTTATAGTCTACCAGGACGTTTTCGCTTGGGCTGCGAGAAAAGTGAGCTTCCCTATGCTTTTTCTTGTTTCAAATCTTCTCAGATCTGCATAAAACAGTTATAAACCATCATTTCGTTGTGTCAAGCTACTCTGAAGACGCATTCATCGGACACCTCCCTCCTGGAAAGCTATTACTACCTCCGTACCCCCTGATGGAAGGACCTCTCCCAGCATGGTGCACCACCTCAAAAAACCTCATAAGTTGCTCTCAGGACACATTCCCATGCTCAAACCATGCCTTACTATCTGTTTATATCCCGGTACAAACACTCCGCGACCTGCAAGACAAGGCCCTCGATCCCGTCTTCCTACCTCCGCCGTTGCATCTTCCGCACAAACCACGTCCTTCCAGTGATCAAAACGTTCAAAACTTGACATCTTCCGATCAGACATTGACAATCCCGTGCCCCAAATCCGTCAATATGTCACACACAACGCCTCCTCCCCCTCCTCCGCCTTCCCTTGCCCTCTCCGAGCCTCTAGGACATCTCCCCTCGATACTAGGCGAAAAATAGATGCAAAATAACTGGGCCTGACCGGGAATTGAACCCGGGACCTCTTCCATGCTTAGTCAGCAGCTCTGACTGGGCAGACACCCGAAGGAAGAATCATACTACTAGACCATCAGGCCGATGACAATCAATTTGATCAAATATTATCCATTGACACAGTGTGGGCCAATAGTCACCCAGAAGGCAAAGAAGATAACTCGATTATCAGTGTCACAAAGAAAAGGCACCGAGGAACGCAAAAACCGCGAATTCATTTCACCAACATTTTTATCTGGTATGACAAGCAAATGGCAAGGAGGAACTCGAGGAAAGCGTCCTATGCTCTACGGAATACGGAAACTCAGCAAACTCGCAAGTCTCGCAATGCCACAAGAATTCATAACATAACGGAACTCCTGACCCCTACGCTCCAAACGTCTCTTTCAACGCACCAATCCAAGCATCATACTGTTCAGCCTGCCTGGATACCGAAGCCTGCTCAATATGTATAAACTCCCCTGTAGCTCCCTGAGCTGTCGCACCCTTCACGCACACCTCGTCTTCAGCAACACCATTGACGAGTCTCCCAAACACATTCGTCGTCGCTGTCAGTCCGCACTCCGAGTCTGACGGCGACGAGATATTCCATGACGGAAATATCGTACGCAAGTTTCTCTGAAGGCGGTTAATTGGTAGGTTGGGATTTGAAGTATACCAGTTTATTGAGGATGCTGAACGACCTGGGGAAGACTTGAATTGGATAGCAAGAACTGGAAGAAATATCCTCACCTAGCCCAGATGAAAGGAACATTTGGTCTGTGGAGCACGTACTTGCACCCTTGCCATGCATCTGAACAAAGGCACAAGACTCTCCGGGACATCCACCTGTGGCATTCTGCCACTTGTGAATTTCCTTGATGGCTACCACGAAAGGTTCTTTCTATCACGAGTATCAAGTAACGAAAAGTAAATGAACCATAGCACGTACATCATCATGTGCTGGATCGGTCTTATAATAGACCGTACTCGCACTGCTCGGATGGATGCATTCTGTAGCATTAAATAGAGCCGTACGTATCCGTCCCGATATCAACAAACTCTTTGCTCCCGTGCCAGCAAAAAGCGCTGCTGCCTGCTGAGGGGTATGCAAATCGTACGCTGGATGTGGTGCGCTGATGTGTATTCCCGGCAGCTTCGTCGAAGAACGATCATTCGGAACAACCATGAGACCCCATCCTTTAGCGTACACACCCGAGTCAATTGCGTTGAGCTCGTGTAAGACGCAGTAAGGTGTGGAGGTAGATTGTTCGGTGAAGAGTGTGATTCCGTAGACGTCTGAGAGGACGTTGGGTATGGTTAGGGATGTACAGTTTCCATCGATATAGAGCATTGAGTGGACTAGGTCAATCCATGCGGAAGATTCTGCCGGGCTAGGTTGAGCCTGAGCATAACTTTCTGGACTGTAGAAAGCTTGTGTGACGGTGTAGGCGTCGAAACATGAAATGAGGCCTTCGACAGTCGTAATTGAGGAATTGCCGGCGCAAGGGATAGAAGTTGCACCAGAGAAGGTCCTTGCAAGACCATTCAGAATCAGGGACCAGTAGAAATCCAGCATCGTTCTGTAGAGGTGAGCTGGGGAGCAATGCAAAGTAATTATACACACTTACGACCAGCTTTTATTCAACCTTGCGGCTGCGGTAGCGAATTGTGTTTTGGGTGCGACATTCAATCTTTCAGTGGAGACAGTGTGAGAGCAATAACGCCGACAGATCCGAACAAGGGTAAATTTAGGGCAGGGCAAAACTAATCTATTGCAGTACGGTATCATACTAATCGTTTCGGAGGCTCCTCAGTCTTCTTCTCTAACTTCTCAGTAAACTCCTCGACCTTTTTATCTGCTGCTGCCTTAATCTCTGCTGTCTTGGCCTCTACGATAGCCTTTCCCTCTGCAACCTTGGCCTCCGAAGCCGCCTTCGTCTCCTCAAACTTGACCTCCGCAGCCTTGACTGCTTGCAACACACGCCCCTCAGCCTGTTTCGACAGCTCCTTGCCTAACCCAAGCGTCTCTTTGAGCTTCAACCCCGTAGTCTCCTCAATCTTCCCAACTGCATTTTCCACGCCCTTGGTTACACTCTCCCTTCCATTAGCTGTAGCATTCTTAATCATCTCCCATGTCATGGCAGTGTGTGCATTAGCGACAGCATGTTTTTGCGCGAGAGTAGGGAAATAGGTCTCTTCCAAGTTGCCAAGGTATTCTGAGAGGTTGGCGGTAGTCTTGGGGAGAAAGTGGTTCATGGATAGAGCGAGAAGAACTGGAGGTGTTATGAATCGGATAGGTAGAGCTCGGTTTCGAGCAATGATGGAACCGCTGAGAGTGGCTACACCAACGTAGAGGATTCCAGGGGTTAGGGATTCTTCTGGTGAAATGATAGCTTTGACACGGTCTATAAAGTAGCGTTGGTTACTAGAAGCACCATATAACACACAGAAACGCACGTTCTACTGCATGTTCGACACCAATCCATTTTGAGACAAGGTCCTGGACGTGTTGATGAGCTTGTCTGTATGTCGCTGTAAGACTCTTGCGTGCAATGCCGATTTGGCGTTCGAGTTCTGAGGGCACTTCTTGGACAATAATTTCGGGGTCAGGTTGTGGATAAATTGGGAGCTATTCACAACCCTTAGTACACAGTACATAGCGTGAACTGAGTAACATACCTTTTCCTGCTCTCGGGGTGTTAATGCAACCGCAACGCCGGCGGCAAGGACTAAAGAGCGTGGACCTGCCGCTCTGGGCTGTTACAAGTCAGTACAAAATATTTATAAAGCATTATTCCACTCACCAGTCTAAACCGTGCGGCATTCATCGAGGTCGACGTTGGTGACAATGATGAGTGCGGAGGAAATCGTGCAATAGAAGCTTTTGCATAACATGTACAAACGGATAGCAATAGACGCTGGTAGACGCGCATCAGGCTTGACCATAAACCACTAGGACCTCTTGTTGTTCGATTTCTTGCTCGAACAGTGTGACGTCTTTTTGAAGAATTGATGATTAACTGTAAGTTCAGACTCATTGGAACTCTCAGCCTTTTCCCAACGGTTTGACAGCTAAACTCTGTTTCAGGCACTTCTGTTAAGGCGCCCAACGACAGTCAACCATTCAATTGAATCGTAGACGTTGCCTGGATGTGATTGTTATCATCCATCCTTTCATATATATACCATGCGCGGTCCCGTTCAACTTGACTCCTTACCATAACATCTCACGTCCCTCATGGAGACACCGGTTCCCAAGGACAGAAGTCCCATCGACAACGCTCCCCGTCAACGATATGGCCTCTCTGCGTACATAAACCTCAGCACCTTCCTTCGCATCTGCCTCGTTTACTTACTATTCATGAACTACCCCTTCGCTATATTTACCACCATATACGACACTTTATATCTCAAGTACAGTGTCGACGCTCCTTCGGACATCCATCAAAATCAGACTTGGGCGGAGGTCGTAGCCAGTGGTACCCAAAGCGCTGTTGTACGTCCTCTTTTCGGCAAAAAACAAGAATTCGACGTGGAGGTTACTGTTTGGCGGCGTCGGACGGCAGAAGAACGGGATATGGCCTGGCGGCAGTGGGAAACCGATCTCACGAAGATAGGAGATCAGTGGGAAGAATATGACCTTGACAATGCATACGACGTCTTATACGAGAAACCCATCTTTTCGGATATTGTGTTTAGAGGATTGAGGCTGAAGGACGGTGTCGATGTCTTTGCTTCTATCCCTCTACAAATCCCATCTGAAATTTTGTGCGTGTCGTTGACCTTTTGCTTACACGGGCTGACAATCGATTTCGTAGCCTTAATGAACATGTCTCAACAAGTGACATCCGTGCGTCCATCGTACTCATCCCAAGCTCTCCGTCATTGCTTGATCATGTATCGGATTACTCTTCGTGGTACTCTCCATGGATGAGACGGCCTAGAATGCGTGCATTGAGGTACTTCCTATACAAACATGATTTGCCTGTATTGAACACTCATTCACAGTTCCAATTACACATTTCCGCTCGCCCGAACCATGAAGGATCGCGTCCTCGAAAGCTTTGCTCTCAGCGTAAATCTTATGGGATTCCAAGAACTCAAGAAGCCAGCAATGACAGGAACAGATAGATGCGCTTGATTCGGATAACGGAGGGTCGGATTCCGGACAAGAGAATTGCGTTGGAATGTTTGCTAATGGGACGATTTATCGAGCAGACCCATCGTACACGATACACCCACACATCATATCTCGGTTGGTTACCGTCTATCTTCAAAACCCCATCGCGCTGATTCTCGACGACCTGCAGAACACACATCCGCATTTCTAAGCAGGCATCGCTCTTGAACCACGAAAACCTCAACAAGGCGCACCAATTATTGAAATCCTTTGCACACAAATTGGTGCGTACGTGCTGTTTTCACAAAATTTTCAGCGGAGTCTTACGGCGCTACCTAGTGCACCCAGCCGCGTGTTCGGTACCTCTACAACAAACCCTCTTGGATTTCCTGTGATCGCCAGTACATGTTCAGCGGCCACTGGGAAACACTAGTGAAGCTTCAGCCATCCAATATTGATTCAAAGAAGGGACAAGACGTCGAGTGGGCGTACACACCATATCTCGATAATCTGCTCGGAGTAGCATTTCCTGACGTACGTGCCCATTTCTCCTTGCTGTAAAATAAAGTTTATGTGTGTTCAGGAGCGTATTCCTGCACCAGTCAGCCGTGAGAAATGTGGTAGGAAGAATGGAGAGATCAAGATAGGTATGCAACCCCTGAGAAAACTGTCTCTGTAAACTCATGGTGTTTCCTAGAAGGCCGAGGGGTTGTGGATTTTACCTGGCATCTCTCGTTAACTGCAACTTCCTTGTCAGAGATGTCTCTTGGGGACGGCATGAGTCCGCTTCTGGAGAAGGATCTTCAGAAAACTACGATTAGTGACAATGTAGCATATAACGCTGTATACATGAGTAAGTTTTCTAGGTCATTTTTGAGCACCGCAGAGTAATGACAATACAATAGATGCAATGGCTGGTCACCGTCGCGATAATGCCCGCACACTCCTAAAATTCGCATGGAATATAGCAGGGTGCGTGCG